AGTGTGGAGGCGGAGCGGAGCCCCCGCGAGCGTAAGCCGGGAGAGCTCCGGGGCGGCGCGGCCCCGGTCTGGCGCGTCGGGCTGGAAGGCGCGCCCCTTCCCTCTCTCGCGCCTCCCCTCGGGTTCCCTGGGCTCTGTCCGCGCCTGAGACGCGCCCACCCTTCACCCGACTTCCAGCCCTGGACGCGCTGGACAGAGCCACAGGCGCCGAGGAGCGAGGCGCCTGGCCCAGCGCGCCCACCATGCGCCTCAACATCTCCGCGCCCGGCCCCCGGGGCGCCGACCCCTCCGCGCTGTCGCCGACGGGGCTGGAGGCAGCGCTCCTGGCCCCTGACTTTGGAAATGGCTCCGGCAACGCATCGGAGCGCGCCTCGGCTTCGCCCAGCAGCGACCTGGACGTGAACACTGACATCTACTCCAAGGTGCTGGTGACGGTCGTGTACCTGGTGCTCTTCGTGGTGGGCACGGTGGGCAACTCGGTGACGGCGTTCACGCTGGCTCGCAAGAAGTCGCTGCAGAATCTGCAGAGCACCGTGCACTACCACCTGGGCAGCCTGGCGCTGTCCGACCTGCTCATCCTGCTGCTGGCCATGCCCGTGGAGCTGTACAACTTCATCTGGGTGCACCACCCCTGGGCCTTCGGCGACGCCGTCTGCCGCGGCTACTACTTCCTCCGGGACGCCTGCACCTACGCCACCGCCCTCAATGTGGCCAGCCTGAGCGTGGAGCGCTACCTGGCCATCTGCCACCCCTTCAAGGCCAAGACCCTCATGTCTCGCAGCCGCACCAAGAAGTTCATCGGTGCCATCTGGCTGGCGGCGGGCCTGCTGGCCGTGCCCATGCTCTTCACCATGGGGCAGCAGAACCGCAGTGCCGACGGCCAGCACCCCGGCGGCCTGGTGTGCACGCCCGTCGTGGGAACGGCCACCATCAAGGTCGTCATCCAGGTGAGCAGCCTCTTCCAGGGAGAGGGCTGGGAAGGCACGGGGGCGTCCCCTGGGGGCGAGGTTGGCAGGCACCCCTCAGGAAAGCCCCAGCATGTCTGGTTCCTTCATCCCAAAAGTAGTTTCCCTTCTGTGTCGCCTCTGGTACAGGAAGCTGGAGAATGGTCACCGAGAAATTCTGCTGCCGGGAGGCTGGGGAGAGGACGGGGGGCAGCCTCGCCCCCCTCCTTCTCACCCTTCGCTCCGGGGTTCAGGTCTCAGCCCCCTACTCACCCCTCCTTCTGTCAAAGGGGGTGGGAACCTCAGACGATGACTCCCCAGGAGCCGTGGGGAGTCCCCCCAGTCTGCAGATTCCCTGGGATGTTGGGGGACCCATGAGCCGGTGCTGGCCTTTTTCTCATCAGTTTCTCGAGAGCTCTGTGTCCCCGAAGGGCCCCAGGCCACTCCCCAGGGCTGCCCCGCCCACCAGCCCCCGCGGGAGACGGAGCTGAGCCTGGGGCTGAGCGTAGCCTCAGTTTGCCCACCTGCGAGATGGGCCATCACAGCCCTGACCTCACGGGCAGAGGACTTGAGAGCTGCGGGAGGTGCCGTTGCTGTGGGAGGCGGCGGCCATGTTTCCGCCGAGGTGTTGGGCGTGGCAGGCGGCGCCTGTGTGAGGGGAAAACCTGGGAGCTAAGTGACCAGCTGCCCTCCGAGGGTCTCGGCAGAGTATCATGGGAACCCCGGTGGGAGCCCATCTGGCAGTCGGCTTGAAGGAGGTGGCCTGGCTGGGTGGGGGGGCCTGGCCCTGGGCAAGGAGGTCTGTCAGGCAGGACCACCAGGCACGGGCACCCACAGAGGGGGTTCCGGCAGGACTGCCACCTCGGATGGCATCGTGGCCCTGGGACGTGGCACCCATGATGGTGCAGGGCACAATAGGGCTGGCCGGGGGCCGGGGGCCTAGGAGGGGCTGGGGAACAAAGTCCCCGTCCAGCTGTCCCTCATGCCTGAGCCACGGCAGCCCCCGGAGGGGCTTGCGCTGCCCATCAGAAGCCCAGCAAGACGGGGTGTGGGGCGGGCGCTGCGGCCCGCGTGTCCACTGCCGGGCTGTGGCCGCGTGGACGGAATCAAGCAGCAGGACTGAGGACTCGTGGCCACGGGGCCCCTGTGTGGAGGGCCACGCCCGAGCGGCCACGCATGGCGGGAGGTGAGGCAGAGCCGCTGCCACCCACCCCCGCCCTCCGCACGGAGCAGAAAGGGCCCTGAGGGCTGTGGGAGCCACTTCCTCCGCAGGCTCCTGTTTCCCCCCCGGGTCTCCCCTGGCCCACGCTGAGGGTCTGGGGTCGACAGCCATGCCACCTGCCTCCAAAGGCACGACGTGGCGGGTTCAGGCCGGCAGCTTGTGGGGGGTGCAGAGGGCGGGAGGGACCCCTTCCTATAAAGCGTCCCCCGACCCCTGTGGCCCCTTCATTGGTCGCACGGAACAAATCCCGCATGCACATTGTCCCGCCTCCCCGAGGGCCATCGTTCCGAGTCCTCGTGCCGGCTGTGACACCGACAGCCTGGAGTCCGTCTGCCCACTCGGCAGTGGCCCGGTGAGTGCTGATGCGCCCGCCTCCACATACGCGTCTGCCAAACTCTCACGGGCTTCCCAAGGGCCTCGGAGGACAGAGGTTCCATGTCCCCATGAAAAGCCTAGGCTGCACGCCTGGGAGCGGCCGAAGGGCTGGCTAGAGGAGACGCTCGCCGTCCGGTGGGTGCCGACAGCCCCCAGGAGGCCTCCGGGACCCGCGCGCAGCCTGCTCCGTGCGCTCGGCCGCCGTGCCTCGCAGGGACGCGGCCCGGCTGTGCGTGCCATGCCCCATCTCAGGCGCCGTCTCTCAAAAGTTACGTTCCCTGCTCAGGCTTCCTGGCAACTCGGCAGGTCTGGGCAAGCATCCACTATTCTTAACGTGACATCCGGCCTTTGGGGCTTGATGCCTGCATCCGTGTGTCTCTCTCTCATCTACTGTGTGTGCAGGTGTCGGCCAATCAAAACAGCCCCTCCCGGGCCAGGCCTCACCCAGCCTTTACGTCCGCGAGGGTCCACGCTGGGCGCTTGCAAATGGGTCACGTTTAGAGTTTGTTTGTGATAAGATTTCTGAGCGACTTCGAATGGTTCTTGTCCACACGGCCTGGGGCTGGGTCCAGTTGGCTGGCTGAGCGGAGCTGGAGGGGAGGACGGGTGCTCCCCAGGGCCCCAGGGCAGCAAAGGCCCCAGACTCTGGCCCCAGAGTCAATCGGGGATGAGTGCCCCGTTTCCCTGGCCCAGTGCCTCCCCTGACCCCGGGGCTTCCAAGCAGACTGGATCACGGGGACGACCTGAGGAGAGGAAGGTTCTGCATCCGAGTGACCCGCACGCCCCATTAGGAGGCCCTCCGAGAAGCAGCGTACCCCCCTCAAGCGTCTCCCCAAGGCAGCGGCTGTCCACACGTGGCTCTGCCCGCGTGGGTTCACTTCGAGTTATGCTTGGTCTCCTGCAACTCAGGTGGCCCTGTGGCATGATGCGGGTCCTCCTGTCACAGGTTCTGTGTTCCTGGCTTCAGGTGGGGCAGGGCCCATGTCCACACACTGTCCACTGAGCACTAACCCCGGGCGGCTGGCGGCCGGGGGCGTAGCGAGCTGAGACCCACCGCGGCAGAGGCCTGGGGCGAGCACGCGTCCTGTTCGGGTCTGACTGGTCCAGGGCATTGTCCAGCCTCCCTTCACGCAGGCCCCCGGCCCCAGCAGCACATGGCCTCCAGCATCAGGGCGGGAGCCCATGACACCTGTGCGGGCAGCGGCTCAGGGCTGTTCGAGTCACCATGCTGGTGTTGTGGCCGTTTTCCGGGACACAGGGGCGTGGCGGCAGCTCAGGCGGCTCCTGGGGCTCCCTGCCTCATCACTTGCTGTCACAGAAACGCTTTCACTTATACTGCGACAGACTCGCTCCTCTCGGGGTGGACCCGGCTGCAGAGGGGCCAGCACTGTGCGGGGTGCCTCCCTCCCAGGGCTGAGTCACACAGGAGGGCACGTCCCTCGCCCACCTGCTCGGAGCCTACGGGCACATCGGCCCACGATGGCACCGTGGGCACCAGGACATTAAAGTCCGATGTGATTCAAACGAGGCTCCGGAGACGGCCAAGACTTGTCTCCACCAAGTGGAAGAAAATTGGTTCCAAAAAAATCAGGCCATCGGTCGTTTCCTCAGTATTTCTGTCCTGTGCCACCACTAGCAGCCAGTGACCTTCTGCCTGGGTGGCACTCCGAGGGCACCCCATCCACCCACCCGCTCACCCCCTCACGCATTCTCTCCCTTCACCTGCCCATGAACCGTGAGCTCCACAATCGTAGCCAACTCTGCCTCGGTGACGCCGACCCTCGTGGGTGATGTTTGACGAGTCACAGGGTGCCCACGAAAGTAACACAACCCGGGGAAACATGACAGACGCCCAGGAATG